TGACAGCTGACAAGGGGGGGCAGCTCCTTTGAGGAAAAAGGAGAATGAGTGGTGGTGGAAGTGTTGGGGGAGGGGGGAACCACATGCACAAAAGCCACAATTACTTCCTGGACATTCCCCAGTGTTCAGCAGTTAGAGTGTCTATGTAAAATGATGTGGGAGAGGCTATTTGCAAAACAAAGAGAGGGGCGGTTGGCTGGTGAGAATGGAGTATGTATGCCCCGAAGCAGGAGGGTTAAAGTGGCAGGCTGAGGACTTACACACCCCCTAACAGCCCTCAAGGAGCTGGATCCAGATGGGGGTGTGGTTTATGTGGTTTATGGGGGTCAGGGATTCTTCTCTGTACCTAGATGTGTAGAGAGCAGCCCTCTGTGGACAGGAAGTGCCCAGCTTGTTAAGCTAAACATTGCAGTTTAAAGGAGCACTAATGATTATCTTAGTCCTACATTTTGGTTTGTTTCTGTGTTCGGTGTTTGTAGGCAAACAAAGACTGTAAAATGTCCTAACCTGGTTGTGTTCTGCTTTGTTCGTGATTTTCAGTATAAAAATACCCCCTCTGTTCATCACAGGTGAGGAGCTGGACTCATCCTCTGTCCTTCACTGTGAACAGGATAGTTGTCGTCTTTGTTTTAAAGGCACCTTGCAGTTTCTCCTGATTTTAGCACCCCCTAGTGTCGGTTATTAATTCTCTGTGGCCAGGGCTAAACTTGTCTCCTCGCTGTAAGTTTATCTTTTTAACACCTGACCCCGGCTTTCCACAGGAGCCGTCAGCAGCACGTTACTGCAGCAGCGCGTCATAGCTGCTGATAGGAACCGCTGTGGTCAACAGAACCTTTTCCACCGGAGCCGTCAGCAGCGCGAGTCGGCCGCGTCTCAGGAGCAGCATGTCGTGGCCCTTACGCGCCGGTTCTATTTTCTACGCGCGACGCCTCTGAAACGGGTCAAGTTCGAAATTTTTGGGGAAGGAAAGACAGGAAATGGAGAGAAGCTCCCGAGATTTTCAGAATAAAGAACGTACTGCCTTCCGGTTGCTTTACTTTTAAAAACAGTTACTAACTGTGCGGCCCCATGAGAAGTTATCACCTAGCTAGCGGTCTCCTTTGTTTTTCAGGTCCGTATTGGCAATTATAAAACGGACAGAACATAAAACACAAACCATGTTGTAGTTTTCTCCTGCTTGTTGTTGTGTTGACTGTGCTCGGTCGGTGACAGCTGCTCCCCTGCTGCTTCGCGTCTCGTGGGAAGGGCCAAGCAGCAGCTTACGCGAGCAAGACGTGCTGCTGCTGTAACGTGCTGCTGACGGCTCCAGTGGAAAAGGTTCTGTTGACCACAGCAGTTCCTATCAGCAGCTATGACGTGCTGCTACAGTAACGTGCTGCTGACGCTCCGGTGGAAAGAAGGGGTTAGTGTCTACAGTTAGTGTCTACAGGAGTGATTCATCACTAAATTAATAAATCAGCTGTTTATGATGTAAAACGTGCAGGGAACGTCCTGTAATCAGGCTGCAGTGCCGGGTATGTCCCAAAAGAGCGGGCCGCCAGTCTGATGTTGCAAATGCAGCGTTCTGGCCACAGGGGGCGGTGAGGATCTGAGTGACATTTCATTAACTTTGCAAAGGGTCATTTTAGCTCACGCTGACACTAAAGTTGCATAGTATGGCTTTAATGTTTATGCTAAATGTATTAGTATTACATTAATGAAAAAAACAATAAATGATAAACGAGCTGCTCTTGTGTAGCACCTTTCTCCAAATCAAAGCATTTTACACTACAGCGAATTATTCACACACTGATGGTGATGAGCTACATCGTAGCCACAGCTGCCCCGGGGGCAAAGCTGACACTGACGGGCAAAGCTGCTGTACACAGGCTCCACCAATCTCTTTAACCACCACCTGCAGGCAGGTGAAGTGTCTTACCCAAGGACCCAACAACTGGCATGACTGCTGGGGCCTGGATTTGAACCTGCAACCTATCGATTATAGTGTGAACCTCTAACCCCTGAGCCACCTTCACCCCACAAACAATAATGCTTCAAATATCTTTCAAGATGAATTAATTTGAAGATGTATTCATTAAATTATTCCTTTTTTAATTTAACATCTTTAGGCATCACGCAGGCTTTCATAGTTGGCAAACATCAGGGAGTACAGGAAAGGTGCGACATGTCAAAGGTCGGTCTCAAACTGGGACTCTGACAAGTAAACACAACATCTCCAACTAGCCGTGTGTGGTTCCAGCACCGATCTGATGATATGCGAGAGGCCCAGTGAGCTGTGAGAAGGTTGAGCAGGGTCATAAAGCTGAGTTAGCCGGTTCTCGTGAAGTTTCATTAATGAGCTGGTGGAGGGAATCGTGATACCGATGTGGCACAACACTGCACGTAGGACAGTTTAGGTTCTTGGGTCCCAACGGTCCCCCTACCCAAACGCACAATGTTCCCAACTGCTGCAGGCACACAGGATATGGATAGAACTGGTGTGCATTAAATATTTACCAGCAATTTCCTCCACATATGAAATTATACCTTGAACTGTTTACACACCAATGTGAGGTGCCAGTGTTTGGTTTGGGATGTTTGGGGAGTTTTCTATTTAAACTGCTCTTATGGAGAAAGTAACACGCCACCAATTGTCAATTCATGGGTTGAGGTTATGTCGGCCAACCAGTCCAGAAACAATATTGTTCTTTTTTTTTAAGAGTCAAATGTTTGTTTCATTTGTATTAATGTTATTTTAGTTAAAAGGGGCAGATAACATAAGTTTTTCTTCTTTCTGTCCCCTTTTTCATTTTGGCTTTTAGCAATTTAGTTTTGTATTTTTATTTTAATGTCAATAAATGAAAGTAAAGTTAAAAAAAATAATAATTAAATGAAGAACCAGATCAGCCCAGCGCTGGCAGAAGTGTGGAGATATTTCCTAGTGATACCTGGACACCCGCGAATGCATAAACAAAGACATGCTTTAAATAACTCAGACACAAACACATAACCCTCTGACCGATCTGTTTCAGATTCCCCAGCACACTCGGCTCGAAATGCGTCTGCAACCAGTGGATTACACAAGCTCTGGGTTTACACAGTGACATGCCTCAATCTGATATCCACTGCCATTAGGCTGGCTTCAGCTGCTGGATGCCTCCCCAGTTTGATGCTGCCAGAGATGCTGAGATCTTATCAGGCTCTGAGATGCCTCCATCAACTGATACACCCTCTGGATTAAGATGGAGGATCGCCTCTGGCTGTTCAGTAGTGGGGCAGCATTGCAATATGTCTGCAGAAGCTGTTATGAGTCGATGGACACACCAAGGCTCCCAGCTAAAAGGTCTTAGGTGTGGTTTGGATAACAAACAAATCAAGAGTGTTTATAGTTGTCAGCTACAAACACACAAAATTATTCAAACGCCTGTGTTTGGATTTTGTTTTTGCTCAAAGTCAAAAGCAGCGAACCTTGCAAGTGAATGTGGGCTACATGGTAGCACGATTCCCTCTTGCGCCTGCTCTCTTCAGAGCTGACAGCAAGACATTAAATATTAGTGCTGTTTCATGGCATGGCTCCTAACATGGTTATTCCAGTCACTGAACGTGCATTTCCAGTGAGCATGTCCACTCTGCTCTTTTGTTTTACAAAGCAAACGCGTGTCTAGAGCTTCGGGGCAAGCCGTGCTGTCAGAACACAAACGTATATTTAGACACAACAGTTGCACATGAAGATATCACATAAACATCACCCACTGAACACCAGAACTATCAAAGTCTCGCTCTATTTCCAATCAAAACATCGTCATCAGTTGATTTTCCTCTTACATTTGTAATCATTTCACTCACCCTCTGATAGGTTTTATTTCAGCTGATGGTGGAATATTTAGCCACAGGGTTTATCAGCCATCATACAAATCAGCTAGAGGAAAATTGCTCTTTACTGTGTTTAGTTGCTGTCGGAGAGCCTTCAGCTGAGATTATTCAGGTTCAGTCAAGCACACATCTAACACCAGCGGTGATGTTTCTGATGTAACCGACACTCAACAGCGTTAAGTGGAAAACAAACAGAAGTACCGACCTGGGCCCGTTTAGATGCAACGCCTGGCTGTGAGAATCTCCTCGGATGGTCTGAATTTGTTTTGCACCCCTGCAGATTTTTTTAACAACAAACTTGATTAGACACACTCTGCCCGGCTGTCTTCTAAAAGGGAAAGGCTCAACAGGCAGTAGCATATTCAGAGAGAGATTTTTTTTTTATTTCAAATAACGTCGTTTGTTTGGATAAAACCTTATAAGATCACTAAATAATAGATACTTTCAATTGTTTGATCTAATTTGCAGTTAAAGGTCTACTTCACTGAAAAAACGACTTTGAATTAGGGTTGAGCATGAAAATAGTCTCCTACACATATCTCCTGCTTTAGCTTCGGATAGAAAATAGACGATGGAACACCAGGATTAGAAAATCCTGACAGATCTACGTCACACTGTCACTTAATATTCATAGACTCATCCATCTTGACTCATGATGAGGAATGCTGCTGGTTTAAAGTCCAGGAAACAGCAGAGAACATTCTGGCTACTAGAAGCTAACTGTTAGCATTAGCGATAAGGCTAAGCGATTCTGGAAAGTAATCTAATTGTGATTTTTTTTCTTCAATATTGCAATTGTGATTTAATTCACTAACATTTTCTCAAGGGGCTTTTCTCATTTTTCAACCAATGGAAGCAAAAAATCTATGTAAGTTTTACTGAATACAAACAAGTTTATGTATCAACATATTTATCTACATATCATATCTACAAGTTTATTGTCTACATAAATGTAAACACTCACAAGTAAAGACAATGGGTGTGTCCGAACCATACATAACTGGTCCATACTGGTTTTGATCTGTAAATAAGTGTAACGTATTATAAATAATCTTGTCTTCTTACTATCTTTTCATTTTCTGTTCATGTAACATGTTCAAAAACATCTGTAATAATAAAATTGGTGATAAAATCAATGACCAGAAAGGTATTAGTATTTGTTTTAATAAATGTGTTCAAATATCAAACAGCTAAATAGCATTAACATGAAGACAGTAGAAGGCCTCTCTCCCAGGAGGACCACCAGGTAAAGCCTCTCCTGACCCTGGGCACCTGCAGTCATAAACAGAGAAGATCAGATCGCAGGTGACTAAAAGGCAATAAACACATTTTTACATTTATCCACATGAGAAGATAAAAATTATATTCTTCACACAATTTTTACTTCATTAAAACGTGTCAGCTGTGTAAATCCCTGAATGCAAAACTACTTTTCACTGCAGAACACAGAAGAACTACTGTACTCCTGTGTAAACAGCTTCACCTCTAAGCTTAATAAAAACGCTCTGTTGTCCCTAAAACAAATGACAAGTTTAATTACACACACACACACACACACACACACATACACACAAACGGGCCCGCGATACAAACTCGTTCTGGCTGATTTCTGCCTAAAATGTAATTTAAAAAACAAATATACAAACAAAAAATATCTATAAACTGAACCACTGTAAGCTTTTAAGGTTTCTACGGCTAGTTTTTAACAAACTTATGTTTAAAACTTTGTAGCTCTCCCCATTTTCTCTGCCTGTTGAAAATCCACAGCCAGCGCCCAAAGCATGCTGGGATAGCCTTGTTCTGTGAGGATACAACATACCCGTCCTCGAAATGTGGGTGGAGCGAGGACGCGTTTGAGGACGCGAGAATGAGTATTCTTGAAATTCGGACAGTACTCGTCGCTGCGCTGTGAAGTCATCGACCTCAAAATGCGCTCTTACAAGCATCCTTCCCATGGATTCGGACACACCCAATATTTTGTATGTGAAGGTGCAATGCTTTGCAGCCAGGAGCACATCCCTTGAAAGAGCATAGGTATTAGCATCAACTGTGAAAATTTATTTGCAGGAAAGAAGTGTGCCCCATTTATTGAAGTCTTTTGTGTTTAGAGTTTTTGACGTCTTGTCCATGCAGAGCTTCCGTAGTTCAGTTACGTTCATAACTGCTAGCCAAAACTCTGTGGAGTTGAAGCTTCTTACAGTTTTCTGGCTTAACTCAAATATCTGACTGTACTTATTTGATTGGCAACAGTTTTAACTTTTTATTAGACTCCAAATGTAATCACTTGGCACGTTCCTAATTCATAATTTGTAAGAATGTAATCTGCGATATTAGCATTAGCATCCCTATGGATTTTTCCATGTATATTGGCATTGTGCTAACCACTCGCTGCCAGTGAATTTGCAGCCTTTGCATTAGAAAATCTCCTTTTGTCACATTGCAATTTAATTGCATATGCAATTAATCGTTCAGCCCTAATTAGCAACGTCACCACACAGCAGAACTCCCTCAGGCTTGTGTTGTTTGTACAAAACATCAGCGTTGTAGAGCAGATTCTGTGGTAGAGTTGTGTTGCTGTTATCATAAAACAGGACTCTAAATCAGGCCATCTGAAGTTCATCTCTGTTCTGACTCACTTCTAGCTCCTGAAACAGGAGCACCAGAGCTATTTTTCCACAGAGCTCTACTCACAAGGCATCCATTTATACAAGAGACCACTGCACGTGTGTTAAAAGACAAGTGAAGCTTTAACATCCACATTTCAACCTACATCTTTTAAAGGTGGAAGGTCCAAGCTAAATTTACTTTAGCCATATGAATAAAGATTGTAGCCTGGTGTTAGCTAGTTAGTTAGCCTCTCTAGTCAGTCTGCAGAACCGTTGTTATGAATCAAACATACAGTTCAAAGCTAACAAACCACAAGACATGTTCAGCAAAACCATTTGGTGGTTTTTGCACCACGATGTACCTCAAAACCAAACTGGCTTGTGTTTAGTCATGCAGCTAATGCAGATTACTATTGTTTCCACATCACTAATATTGACCCAGTTCTGGTTTTAGTGGCTTATTGGTGCCTTTAGTTTTGCCTTTTCTTCTTCTGTATATTTTCATTGTTTTTCTACTGAGTTTTACCTTCACTTGGGCCCTTAATCGCACGCACACACACACACACGCGCGCACACACACACACACACACACACACACACACACACACACACGGGAACATGATTATCATGACTTATGTAGACCAGATCTTTCTTGTCATGCAGAAAAAACTACATTTCTACATTTGTAGTCCATTTTCTATGTAGATTCTGCAGGAGAGATTTCATTTCAAACTATTTATTTTACAGAATAAAGATTATAATTCAGTTTGTATTAATTATTTATTAGTTACCCTGGGCTTTAGAGGCATGTTTTACTTCCTGTGACAGAAACTGTTTACAACAAAACAAAATGTTCTGTATCTAGAGCTGATAATCATACACCTACTGGTTCTTTTATTGTAGAAAGAAAATAATGAAAAGCATAATTTTGATTTCTGTAAACACTGACATGGGTCACATGTTCCAACTCACATACCATTAAACACCTAAGTTGTTTTATTACCTCAAATTCCCAAAGGAAAATTATTAGATAGTTAAAGTCTTAATTGACCTGTATGGATACCAGGAAAAACCAGATATTCTAGTTAAGTATCACCCAAGTTCCTTTCTAAACATTTTTTGTTTGAATGACTGCAGACACTTTGTCGCTGTTGCTCGTCCAGCTGTTTTAAACAGCTGTGTTGTCAGAGCAGATGTTAGGAACTATAAGGTCATGTAACCAAAGGTTTGTGACAACTATAACCCAGAGACCGTGTTAACAGTAGGCTGGACACCAAACAGGTCAGAGGAGAAAACATCCACAGAAACACCAAAACATCCCAACTGAAAACTTATTATATCAGAAATTCTTTATCATAGAAACTAGAGCAACATGCTGAAACTACAAGAGGGTCAGTGTTTAACATTTTACTAACGTTATCATTTATACTTTTTGGGGGTTTGTTGACATTTTACCCAGTTAAAAAAGTTGATACATATATGCATGTAAACATACAGGAAGGCTTTATTTCTGCTGATTCTGAAGCGCTGGAGCTCTAATTTGTAATTATTACAATCCTGTTGTTAGTTGCACGATACCTTCTGCTTTGTTCTGTCATTCAACAGTTAGAGAAGTCAGTTGTTCCACTGATTATATTTTATTTCTGTTTTAGCTTCAGAATATTTTATAGAGGAACAAACTTGTGGGAAATTATGATTTAGGATCTGTCTTTTCTGAGTCCAGTCCAGAGGCAGATTATTATTATTATTATTATTATTATTATTATTATTATTATTATTATTATTATTATTATTATTATTATTATTATTATTATTATTATTATTGTTGTTGTCATTATTATTACTATTATTACTATTGTTGTTATTATTATTATTATTATTAATTATATTATTTAAATTTTTTTCTCTTTGATCACTCTTTGGCTGCAGGAGTAACGTTACCCAGGGCTGAACTTTGAAGTCGATGTGCTTCTGCTTTAGACTGTACCTTGAGGTTGTTAATTAACACCAATAGATGAACAAGAGGTTGCACCAAAAGCAGGGGCAGATGGGACGTTAGTTAGCTAGTCAGAGACGGAGTCGCCGCATGTCTTTGTACACGACATCCCTACTGACACCTCTGGCCTTTGGGTGGCGCAGAGGGGTTTGTAGCAGCAAATGACATTGACCTCCCCAGTGCTCCCTCTCCCCCCGTCCCCCCACCAGCTCTTGGTGGAATTGATTAAACATAATTGGAGGGAGTCAGAAGCTGAGGCAAGTGGTGCTAAATAAATTTGGATAGTGTTAATTGCAGATTCCGCTGTGTCTGTGTGTGGCAGTGTAAGGGGTAGAGAAACACTTAGCCACTGGCTGACAATAGACGATTAATTGGTCTCCTCCAATGAACATAATTAGACTGATTGTTGGGAGAGATAAAGCAAAGGTTTTATGAGAGCAGCAGCACTGTCGGTACTATAAATGTCATCCTTCCACTTCTTCTTCTCTTCGATTCCCCTTCTGTGGCACACTCCCTTGTACAAATTTAATGCTCCTTATTCGTCTTTTAGCTGTAAGGGAGTTGAAATCCCTTCACACATGATGGGAGTACATCACAGGTTCATGGTTTCTGAGCCTTATACTGCAGCTCTAATGTCTCTGTAGGGAAAAGTCCAATCTTCTATTAAATCTAGTCCACAGACACATGTTTCTTGATTATATCAATTATTGAATCTGTGCATTATAAATACAGGGGAAAGAAAATCCTTGGCTTAAAAGGAAAACTATCATGATTATTAAAAAAAGAGTTGTCAGCGTTCCACATCCTCTGGTTCCAGATGTAGCAGGCGTTCATTCCAAATTATTACCAAGTGGGAATGATCTGGGAGCCCCTCAGCATTACTCAGGCTTGGCCTACGGTGGACAGGAAGAACACAAAGGACTTCTGAGACTCAAGGCTGGATGAGATCTAGACCCAGTTTATCGCCATAGTAGTGTGCTCCAGAAGGGTGAAGCAGAGTATTAGTAGAATCATTTCCTGTAAACGTTGTCCACAAAATATAACGTCCGAGGCTTTAATGTCGTCACCCCATCGGACCAGATTCATACGGGGTGTCCTCAGTCAAATGTCTTCCATACATCTGGTAATTTATTCCTGCAATCTGATCATTTTAAATCCTAATTTATCTTAAATCACTAAAAAAAATCACCTTTATTGAGAGCTAATAACTGTAATCGCTGCCTGGCTGTGATTGTGAATTAATTAATATGTAAATGTTTCATCCGGGGGTCTGTTCTTCTCTCTGTTTGATGAAGTCATGCTTCACACTCCATCATTCACTCAGGAGGGAAGACAGCGCGGTGCAGACTGACCTTACTTGTTGAAAGCATCCCTTGAAATCTTCAAAAGAACTGGAAACATCTGCACAAATGTTGTTTCCATGGACACCTGTCATGTTTCTGCCTTGCTCTGAATGAGAAAACAATGTCGGGTTTCTGACCTGAACCGATACTGAAAAAGCCAGCTTGCTTCCCTGACTGACAAGCAGGCAGCCTGGGGGGTTGGCTGAGCTGAGCAGGGCTGCCGTGGGCTCGGGGTTGAAAACCTTGACTCCTGCACCCGTGGTGTGATGGAGAGACTTGGCCTTCCAGCTAAACGGAGGCTTCTGCTCAAAGCAGAGGTACCTCAGGGAGACATTTTGATGCGTGATGGGTGGAATAAAATAAAATAAAATGGGATCAACCTTGCTGCTGTGGTTATTGGTGGTGGGGGTGTGCTAGCTGTAGCCCTCTGGCAACACTCAACCTAAGGCTAGCCTTGCCTTCTATCATCTAGGTTTTACTACACCAAACTCCCACCGGTGCCCTGGGAGAGAACGGCCTGTTTTAAGATGTTCAGAAGAAATACTTGCACATCGACGTATCCATTTTACTCGGCTGAGCATAAAACGGGAAAGTGGTTCCCCTTAGAGGAGATCTCGCTGACCTTTGCAAGAACTCTGAAGGATTTCACTCCTTGCTTTTGTGGCACATGTTAGCATTCAAGCTGTACTTTGTTCTGTTTTCATCTTCTTATTCGTTAGTTAACTGTAGTCTTTAGTTGATCACCGTGCAAATCCTTTTATCTGTCACTCTGTTATACCTCTGGGTTTGTGTTCAGCTCTAGTGGCATGGCTCTTTTTGGAGACGGGGTTAAGGAGCAACATGACAAACTACTTTCAGATAGTTTATGGACTTGAAGGCTAACAGAGAGAGAAACATTAGTGCATTAGTTCCTGTTTGTGGGCGTCTTGATGGAACATTGTTTCCTTAGTGGCTCTTTTTATCAAAGCAGACACAAGGAAGCAAGGTGGTGGTGATCCAGAGAGTTTATAACACAAGGCCATCTCAACATTTTGCCTCAGAAGTTGTTTTACCTTGGCCGCTGTGCGGCTTCCACTTGGCCCCAGTGGGGGAGAGACCACTGAGGGTTGGCTGGGAAGTCACGGCCACAGATTAACTCTGCTATTTATGGCCCAAGCCCGTCTAACTGCTGCCCCAGAGATGGGAAATATTGCTCACACTTAGCAGGATTACTGGGTGCCGTAATGCCCCAAAGGCCTGGTTTATGGCAGGTCATAAATGTTCCCAGAGAGATGGCGCGAGAATCAGATTGATTAGCGTTCTGGTGGAAAGTCGATCTGTTACCCACGCCCCACTGGGGAACACTGTGATGGATGCTTCCGGGATGCAAAGAGAGGCACCGAAAGGGAGAGGCCACTTTTCTCTGCGTCACGCCTGCCCCACACATCCCCACGGTGACACAAGATAGAGGGCTCCTATTGCTCGCAGGGCCGCGGGAGGTTGTCAGGCAGCCGCAGAGCTATCGCCACTCTCTGCAACGGCCCTTTGCCATCCCACTGGCAGACAAATGAAGAGGCGACCTTGACACATGCTGCCATTTACCAAAGTCCCCCTTGACGCCTTGCATCCCCCAGGCATCTGTCATTTCAAAAGACAGATCCCCCACTCCCCCACCGCCCCTATTGGGCAGTCACGCGGCGCAATCAAAGGTGTAATGTACATCCTAGAGCAGACACTTTTTATGTTCCCTTGATGTCACACCTGCTTTTGCTCAGGAATAAATTATTAGTGTAAGCCACGCTTTCTCCATGTGGTCTTGTGCCAGTCTGTGCATAAGAGAAGCAACGTGAGCTCTTGTGTTAGAGGCGAGTCATCATCAGTTTTATGAGCTTGGAAGTCAAGCCAGTTGAGAAACCAGCATTAAAGTTAAAGTCGCCTCGACCCCCGCCCTCAGCCTGCTTTTAGGTGTTGCTCCTGTTCTACTTACAGAAGGTCAGCCGTGACAGCAGCAGATACATGAGAACATTTACCAATCTTTAGTGCAAATTTACAATTAGGGTCCCTTCATAAACATTACTTGGTGCATTATTAAGCAGTAATACACTGTTAAATACAGTAATAACAACTGCTTAACCATATTATGTAATGCATTACTAAGCAGACCCCTCCATCCCGTTGGCCTGACCTTACGGATGCTAAATAGTTTACAATACCAATAACATTAATAAAGGGATACTTTGTTTATCAATGCTTAATAGTGTGAACGGAGAGACCCTTACTTTAAAGTGTTAGTTAGTGTTAAAGTGAATTTTCCACCTTCTTGTATGAGAACTTTAGTTTTCTTGTCTTTGTTTCATAACGATAATCAGTTTAAATGCAGTCGGTTTCAAGAGTTTAACGTCTTTCATTCATAAAGACTTTGCAGACAATAGATGCACACTGGTCCATACATGTTGTGGAGTGTTATTTAATCCAGTTTACTTCATTAATCTGGATCTGGGTAGAGGCCGTCTAAGCAGACCTCAATGTCCCGACTGAATTCAGCCACGTGATCCGTCCTGTCTGTGCCCTGGGGCCTCCTGCTAGTCAGACAAACATTAATATGTGATATCATCTATTCATTAATTTTAGCATTTAGCTTTCACCAGTTGAGGTTAAACAGCACCTATAAGAGGTCAGCTCTAGCAGTAATAAATACTACCCACCACATGAGATCTAAATGAATCAGTTCCTGCTCGCCAGGTAGCACTGATTTCTTCCAACGTGCTCACTGGACCTTTCACCTCATCCTCCCGGCACCCTGCTGGCCCTCATCCTCCCCGACGCGCAGTCTCGGTTTGAATTTGACTTCATGTTTGCATGTGTGTGAGCGCCTTTGATGTGTAGGTTTAGCAACAAATCATCTACCTGCAGCTCTGCAGTGAAAATGTACCTAGAGGTACTGCATCACCTCCAGTCCCCATATCTGCTGTTTGGTTGATTTCACCGTGAGAGATGTTGAAGTGATCTAACCTCCAGTTAGGTCATTTTCTAAGTACTCTCACACTTTGTCTGTTTTTTTTTTCCCCACTAATACAAAGTCTGATTTGTTATCCAGTAGGCTGTAATCTCTATGAACTCTGTTTTTATCCCCAAGCTCAGTCCTCATGACTTACATCTGCTTTAGATCAAATTTGTTCAATAATGAGTGGTTTTATTTGATTTTTAATCTTTGTTTTTGCCTAAAATGCTAAAATCCCTCCAAAAACCCATTTTACACACTAGCATCTAAATACTTTCTGTATTTTGTTGTCGTTTTTGTAATCGTTGGCCTCTGTGCCTGCCAGTTTAAGGGGTTTTACCCAGGCAGGAGTTGCTTTTCTCGTTTAGCGCGTTAAACAAGAAAATCAAGAGAGAAGAAAAAAAGCCGTCAGCTAGATAAAAGTGATTACAGTGCTTATCAGATACATGTGGGTAATTATGGTGGTAATGCAAATGGAACAGCAGTTTGATAAAGCAAAGCTGCTCTGCTATCAGAAGGCATAGCAGGTGATAAAGAGATAGCGAGCAGGAGGGAACAAACACCCAGCAACTGGTTCTGGTGACACAAAGCATGCCACTTACCAAAAATAGCTGGTTAGTAACCACAGGAACCTCCTGAGTAGCTATGAGGATATCTGAAAGCATCCAGAATAGAAACGCCAAAGGTTTTTGTAGATGTTTTACATTTCTATCGTTCCTGGAAAATCAGTCCAAGTTCCTTCATGCATTAAATGTTTATTTGGATTGTTGTACTGGTACCGCGGGATCGCTGATAAAGAGCTTGTGGTGAGCCTGCAGGTCAACAAACACCTCTACAAGCCTGGGCAGGTGTGTTTCTCTAGCTTGTAGTGTGAGAAGTCCACGCCCTCTAGGGGCAGGAATGTGCAAATTGACTAATGATCATGTACCGATTAAAGCCGTTTAAAATGGTTCATTCAGGTACGTCAGTCTGACACATGTCAGCTAGATCAGGGTGTAGAAGAGCGTCTCTTTGAAGATTTAAACCGTTTTACTCTGAGCTACGATAAGATAACCACACCCGTCCTTCCACTGAACCCCAAATGAACTTGCGCGGTTATGAGAAATAAGTAAAATGCCTGCTCACTAAAATGAAATCAGAATGTTGTTGATAAGCAGTCTGAGGCTCCTAGTGGAGTGTCGTATGATGAAGGCAAAGGCTCTAGTGTTTGTGGTGCATGTTCGTTATTTCTAATCTCGTTCTCAGCTAAAGAACAGTTGCTGTAAATATTTACTTTTAACCACATCTTCGTAAACAATCCATCTAATCATTATGGGTTTATAACCGAGGCCTTAAGCGTGGTGTGTGTGGGGAGGACCTCCTCCACTCCTAATCAGGAAACAGAAAATGGGATCTCTTAACGTTTTGCCCTCACTGCTGTGTTTGCGCTGCCATTGATCTGACCCAGACAAGCAGGCATTCGTATCCTTGTAAAAACGCTCCGCTCAGAGGTGTGGAGCAGTGTGCCGTGTTGTGTTTACGCTCTCAGATCCCTAAAGCCTGGATTCTCTACCATTTATCTGAAGTGTTTGCACAAGGGGATAATTTAGGGTATTCACGGATGACTTTGGAGATAGAGCAGTGGGACAAAGGGGAGGGTTTTCTTTTATTTTTGTGCCTGCCCAGTTCCAAAACAGTAAAGGTTTGCTAATGTAGGTCAGACCGGCTCAGTTCATGACTGTAGAACTATCGTAAGACTATGTTATGAGCTGTTCTCAGTGAAACATCATTATTCTGTTACTCACACTCCCTCCAAGTCTCTCCGAAGGGCCTTTAGAGGTGACACATTTATTTAAAGGAAAAGTCATTTACAGAAAACATAAATGTGTAGAACCCATTAAAGTTAATGGTTAGAGCTAAAGGAACCAGCAATGCAGCAGTTCTCTATTATAAATGTGCCATGTTTATTTAGAGTCGAACGTCTTTACAGAGACAAAAGCTGCACAACATGTTGACCAATGTTTTTTGTTTTATTCCCTCGGCACAAACCTGATGCTTAAAGGTGTGGCACACTGAAAATATTTTTTATGAATATTCTGAGTTTAACAGACTGAACATGCAAATAGTCTCCTACACCTACATCCTGCATTAGCTTCTGTTGGAAAATAGACGGTGAAACTCTAGAATTAGAAAAGCCTGACAGATCTACGTCAAGCGGTCGCTTGGACTCACCCACCTTGGCTCGCGATGAGGATGGCTGTTGTTGCTTTAGCGTCCAGGAAGCAGCAGAGAAGATCTGAGCTATTAGGAGTTAACTGTTAGCATTAGCAATGGCACCACACAGCAGAAGCTCCTCCAGGCTTGTTTTATTTGTGGAGATAAGACACCGGCGTTGTCAATGGTAGGGTTGTGTTGCTGTTAGCCAATCAGAGGAGAATATCAAGAAATAAAGAGTTTAGGGACTGACAAACTCGTGGAATGAAGAAAACCATCAGAAAGAGTCAAACCTGTTAAAGTAGAAACAGCAAACAAAAGGCTGCAAAAACACTGTGATCACTTCATCAGTCTGTATTTCTATGTGTGCGTGTGTGTGTGTGTGTGTGTGTGTGTGTGTGTGTGTGTGTGTGTGTGTGTGTGTGTGTGTGTGTGTGTGTGTGTGTGTGTGTGTGTGTGTATTTGCATGTGTGCGTGTTGGTCTTGGCTAAGACTTTGAAGGCTACTTGTTTGGATTCAGCAGACAGAGTCCTCCTCAGGGAGCTGACATCATTAGGGCTGAGAGCAGGTCCCACCTCCTATTCACCCTCAGCGAGGGAAGGAGAGAGAAACAGAGAAAGAGAGTGATGGGGAGAGGAGGGCAAGTTTAAGCAATGCAAGGTCAAGACTGCTGCACAATTACCCCGGCAGTGTTGTGCCCTGGGAAGCTAAAGCCTCTGACTTCTCACCTTTCCAAGGTTGCTCGGGCTGCCCCCCAAGACAATTAGCCTCCCCAAATCCTCCCGTCGTTTTACCATTCACCCCTCATCTCTGTCTTTCCTCCAACGTCCTCTCCTCCTGCACTTTCCTTCATCTGCCGAGAATTTGGACCTGTTGTTTTCCTGCTGTGGAATGTGCTTCTTCTGCAACTCACAAGTTCAAACAGAGTTGTTTTGCAAGTTGTTGACATGAGCAACAGATCGATAGATCACAGTGATGTCATGTGCTGCAAAGAAAAAGAGATAAGTTTAGTGGATATTGGATAGTGGTTTAGAAATGTTCATAAATACTATGACAGCTTTGCAAGGGTTTTAAATTACTCATAAAATAACTGAAAGTCATCCAAATGTCACTTTTTGAAGATCATTGAGGCGTCATTTACTTTAGCTTCCGTACAGTCGCTCACTATGTGGGTTTTTATTAAATAATAGTATCAATCTACCAAGGTTTAGGTATCATACACACACACACACACACACACACACACACACACACACACACACACACACACACACACACACACACACACACACACACACACACACACACACACACAAGGCAGATTCCAGCACATGTCAGCATTCTGAGGGATCATATAGATGCAAATGCAGCCCTGTAATTGCAGAAGCCGTAGATCTGCGTTCTCCAGGCTGGATGCTGTCATGTCTATGGCTGATTCCATCTGCTTTTCGTCATTACTTTATTTTCCCTCTCCAAGACCTGATTTCCATTCCAAGCCATTGCTTTGGAACCATCTTATCTCCGCTCTTCATCCTTTTCCTCCGCCAAAATGTCCTCCTTCCTCTTTTTTAAACTCCTCCAGCAATCTGTCTTTTCTGGTCCTATCAGCAGTGATGGAGCTGACAGCAACGAGGCAAATGTCACAGCCGAACACTAAAGCGACAGGAAGGAGGGCTCCTCCTGCATGGCGTCTGTTCTGCTCCCTTCTCTCCTCCCATTGATTCTCCTGAACGTCCTTGTCTCATCTCTCTGTTATCTGACGTGTAGAAGCTCTTTTATATGACTGCAGACTTCAAATCTCAAGCCCCCCCCCCCCCCCCCCCCCCCCCCCCCACACACACACACACACACACACACACACACCACTGTTCAGGCTATAGATGGCCAGTGTCCACATCTTCCTTCTCAGCCCTCTCTCCTCTCACCTCTGTTGACCTCCTACTTGACTCGTGGAGATTTTAAGAGTTTATGTCAGAAAGCAAAGTTTGTGTTTGCTGTAGGGAATTTAAAACACATTTCTTTATTTTCAGTGACTGAATAAATCAGAAAAAGTGAATTCTGGCACAAAGACCAAGAACTGAGTTTTGTAAAGCTTCATTATTACGAACACCATTAAGTTTCTCCCGACAACCAGTGAGTCGCTGAAGCAGCTGTGTTTTCCTGAACATCATTTATTTTCCTAAAGCAGAACGAGAACAAAATAAGATGATGGTTAATGACAGCCAAAGGAAATGGAGCGGGATCAATGTGTCAATCAGCTGTGGTCCTGGAGTCCATGAAGCTATTAAATTATTCAAAGGTTTGCCAATAAGGCTAATTAAAACCTCGGGCTGGCTGCTGACACCTTCAGGGAGCTCCAGCGACCCTAAAAGGTTAGTATAAAACATTTCTAGCGTCGTCAAAGAGGGAAAATCTACTCCAGAACTTTTCATGTGAAGAAAAACTAAATCTGAAGCATTCTGAAAGATTTGTGGTTTCAATAAAGAAATGTAGAACTTTAAGATTAAAAACAATAAATTATCTCAAAGAAATAATTCAGAAAACAAAATTCAAGCATTTCATCACCACTGGTTCTGTAAACCAGTGACTTTTCTTGTTAGAGAGTTTAGTAAGGACTTTAAAACAAATAAAAAAAATCAAGTTGGAAAGTGTTTTCTACAACACTCAAACGCCTACATACTGACACACGTCCACCTAGCGAAATACAAACTTTTTAATATAAAAAATATATTTAGAATGAATTACTTTGCACCGTTACCTTTTGAAAGGTGGAATAGGTGGGGAGAGCAGAACAAGGAGAGGGTGATGAACGTCACACCAAAACCAGCTTGCACAGGTGAGTCTTCAGCTGCTTTTTAAAGGAGACCACTGAGTCCACTGATCTCAGGCTCAGGGGGAGAGAGAGTTCCAGAGTCTGGGGGCCACAGCATCAAATGATCTGTCACCTTTGGTCTTTAGCCTGGTGCTGCACAACCAGTAGGCTTTGATCACTGGACCCCAGGGACCTGCTGGGGGTGTAGGGACTGAGAAGATCACCGATGTAAGATGGTGCTTGTCCATGTAAGGCCCTGTAGACCAGAACCAGGATCTTGAAATGAACCAACAACAACACAGACCCACTAGAACACACCTGAGTTGTGTTGCTGACTGTTAGTGACAATTAAAACCTTTTATTTCAGCCCAAATCTTTCAAGTTGACATCTGATTATAAGTTTATTTTCAAGTTAAATGAAGCAAAAGGGAAAACATGTCAAACTGTTGGTCCTGTGCATTTTTCCATTTCACCACACATACAAGAACGAATACACACACACACACACACACACACAAACACACACCCTCCTTCAGCTAACTTCAACAGTTCCTCCAGAATTTGCAAGCAGTGTGTGCTGTGCAGGCAGGAGATAACGTCCCAGAAGTTTTCCAAGGGCAGAATGTGTGCTCCGAGAGCTCAGACATCAGAGGGAAGCCGCGACGAGCTGAAGCCGACTCTCTACATGTGTTGCATCTGCCTTCTATTAAAAAGCCAAAAGCACTCTGGCAGCCTCTCGCACTCTCACTCAGCCTGCAGACATTCTCTCTCTCTCTCTCTCTCTCTCTCTCTCTCTCCCTCTCTCTCTCTCTGTCTGACGCTCTCTCTAAACTTCTTCCTTTTTTATCTCTTTCTACTAAAGTTTTTTTTCCGGAAGATGTGGTCCAACTCCTAAATTTGGCAGATTAGCTCTGGCAACTGGAATAAAACACAAAGTTGAATCATTGATTTCACTTTTCAACATTAAGTGAGCAACACTTAAAACAGATGGTAAATCAGTATATTGTGTTTTTCTAGACTGCATGGTGGTGCAGTTGGTAGCACTGGTGCCTCGCTGCAGGAAGGTTGCAGGTTTGAATCCCAGCTTTAGGCGTTTTGCATGGAGTTAGGATGTTCTCCCCATGCAGGTGTGGGATTTTCTGGGTGCTTCAACGTTCTCCAACAGAACAAAAGCATGCATGCTATTGGTGGGTCTAAATCATCCCCGGAGTGAGGGAGGAAGCGTGCATGCGTGTGTGTGTGTGTGTGTGTGCGTGCGTGCGTGCGTGCGTGCGTGCGTGCGTGCGTGTGTGTGTGTGTGTGTGTGTGTGTGTGTGTGTGTGTGTGTGTGACTGGTTGCAAATGTCCCTCTGATGGACAGGAGATGTGTTCAGGGCGTCCCCAGCCTCTGGAGATAGGCAGTCACTCCCGACGACACTACTGAGGATGAAGCAGTTAAGATGAGAGAGTGAGGATGAATGAGTGGTTCTGCGTTGCTGCCATTTTTAAACGATGCTGCAGCTGGCTTCTTGTTTTTATGGGAACTCTACTAGCTACTCAGTCTAACTAGATGAATTTCCCTAAGGTTTTCTGTGAACCCTTCCTGTTTGAGCCATGCTGGCGTTGAGCTGCACGGTGGAGCAGTTGTTTAGCACCATTGCCTCACAGCGAGAAGGTTTGATGATCTGAAACCCAGCGGGGAGCTTTCAGTGTTGGTGTTTGCCCCGGTGCATGTGTGGGTTTTCTCAGGTGTCCTCCCACAGTCCAAAAACAGGCTTGTTGGGTGAAATGGAGGTTTGAGGTGTGAGTGGTTGAGTGTCTCTGTGTGACAGACTGGTGACTGGTCCTGGTTAGACCCCACCTTTCTCCCAGTGAGTGATGGGACAGGCCCCTGTCCACATAAACAGGTTTAGAAAACGATTGGATGGATTTTGGTGTAAGAATAACTTCCAATAATGATTTCTGAGTAAAGTGACATGTTGTTAATGCTGTGTGTGGAAATATGTTTATTATTCATCAGACAATAGAAGCTGGCCAACATGGCCCTGAACACAGGAGGTGTGTTGGGATTCATTCAATCTTCATGGGTATTTTAGTAAAACACGTCTGTGTGGTTTAAAGAGCAGACAAACATGACCAGTTGTCTGAGTTTATTTTTAAACATCAAATATTGACATCATCATCAGCAGAAGAAGCACATTTGTGGGAAGTGCTTTCATCAGTATCTGTTGGTCGAGGTGTTAATGTGTCATATCCTGTTTGTTTCTGCCACATTTAAAATGTCAGTACTTTGCTCTGTTATATGATGTGTTGGCCTTTAGGGCTGAGGGAATATGGACCATATAAATGAAGAGTTATTGTCAAAATGTCATTTATTAATACAGATTTTATAAGAAACGAAGAGACTAGCTGCCTGATGGAGTTCTGTTTCTATTTGATGCAACTTTGCTAAAAGGTGAGTTTATCATAAATGATTTAAGCTAACACTCGTTTCCTTGTTCTTAAACCTTTGAAACAAATGTTACCTACTTGTTCAAGATGTTAGAAAAACAATCCGATAGGTCAACTGGTGCTTATGTCTGTTTCTATTGGTCAGATTAAAAAGCAACAACAAAATGAGCCCTTTAATAATCTGTCATGAACTCACGGAGCTTCATCA